CACCTAAGATTACTGACCATGAGGCTGACTTTGTCCTGGTGCCTGAGCTGAGACTACCTGGTATTTCAGGAAGCATCACTACATGCCTCCCTTCAGTTTACAGGCTTCCTCAAACACCTACTGGCCTGTTAGGATAAATCATGCTTTTGATTTGACCTACACAGCCCCCACTGCAAGCACATACTGTACTTACTCACTAAACAAGCGTGAATGCACACCTCTGGCTATACTTGGCAAAATACATCTCTTCATAACACTGCATCCAGTCAATACAGCTACTAGAACAACCTCAGAGAACTGCGTGCTGCTTCCCTCACAAGGCACAATATCCAGCCAGCATGAGTTAGGACCGCCTTATTCACTGCCAAGCACCGCGCTGCACGAGAAGGCACGGGGAGTGAAGGAGGAAGGACGAGCAGCGGAAGATGGTCCCTTCCCGCCCGCTACACTCCTCCGCCCRCCCTCCCGCCTCAACAGGGCCAGCCCCAGAGAGCTCCTGGCGGCRCCGCCAGCCGCCTCTTCCTCCCATCGCGGCCACGCCGAGGGCCTCGGCCTCGGCCCCCAGCACTAACCTCGCACCGCCCGAACCGCCACCTCCACCGCCACCCGCGCGCGGCCGTTACCCGGCACCCCAACCGTCACCGCCCGCCCCCCGCCCACGTGGCGCGCGCCCGACACGCCGATTGGCTGCGCCCCGAGCGGTCGCCGCTCGTCCCGCCTCCTCTCGCCCAACCGCCGGCCCTCGTGCATTCAAAATGGCCGCGCCCAACGGAGGCCCCKCCCCGCTCTGCCGCCGCCGCAGCAGCCGTTACGGCGCGGCCGCCGTTACGGCRCCGCCGCCGCTCCGTCCCGCGGCGCTGGGGGCGGCCGCCCGACCGACCTGCCCCCGGGCTGGCCCGCGGCCCGCCCTGGGGCTCGGGGAAGAGGCATGACGCGGTTAGCTCTCCTTGTCACCTGTTTAGAAAGAGCAATTTTGCCTCAAACAGAAGGCGCCGTTCCTCCTTTCTAAAGGGGCTCCGGGAGAGCATGCTCACGTGGTGATGCCTTTCAATATATCTTTAAACGTGGTGACTGTAGCTCAGTGCACCATGCTGCACAGGCAGCTGGCTGTGTGGGCGCTGCAGCGCTCTGGCTCGAGCAGCAGCCGCAGTCGCCTGGCCTGAGCAGACAGACCCTGCTCTTCTGCATCCTCAGAGCAGCGTTTCGGCTGGGTAACCCGGAGAGCCCCGTGTGCAGGTTCAGAGCCCCTGCGCAAATGCCCTAGTGCCTCACAAGGTGACAAGTGACCCTGATGCGGCCTGTGCATCCATCCACGGTTTGCGGATGGTTCCTGGGTGGGAAGCAGCTGCCCATGAATGGTTTTGCCATGACTTGGCAGATAAGGAAAGTTGGCTTATTTAGCAAGTTATGTTTTCAGTATGCGTTTTGGCGGGAGGTTTAAACTCTGAAGCTGAGTAYATAGTAATGAAAGAGGTTAAGCCCCTAGAACTTAGGTAAATACTGCATGCTCACACAGACGTAATAAACAGATAATGTTCATACTAACATAGCTTAATATGTGCAGAAAAAAMCCTACATTCTTCATAATAATCAGCTACCACCAAACCAGGCCAAGGCAGCCTGAATGCTGTTACTGGGACTGACAGAACAAGAATTATTTCTGTCAGTCAGAGACCATGAGCTGTACAGTAAAATGTCTCATCAAGACATTAGGCGAATCAAAATGAAAAAAAAAAAAATACACAGGGTAATAAACAGCCAATCTAAGGGCAACCTACAGAATACATGACATACAATTTGCCTACAGAATACATGACAAAATCTATCTACTGTGTGTTGTACTTCTGGGTGCCATAAGTGAAAGTCGAGCAAAATTTAACGTAAACCTCAAGGCAATTTACTAACAAGGTTCAATGTTTACACTATTTGGTTAAATCACTTTTTAATAAGCAGAGCTGTAATACATCTTTTCTGCTTGTCCACATGCATTTTAATGTTTCTTTTTGATTGGTATGTCCTTAAGTGTTTTGTATTTCCTTAAATTCCTTCTTTAATCTCATTTCCCATGACAGCCTTTTCACTCAGAATTTTTGTCTTGTATAGGGTTRCAGTTAACTGCTTCTGCGAATTAAAGGTGTGAGGCAATAAGCACATCTTTTAAAATTACTTGCAAGTAATTTTTTTAGGCATTTCCCCATTTTCTTTGGGAAATTAATCTTAAATGCGTAMTGTGATATTTCTGAATTTAGTATCTCAATGCATTTTATGCTATGCATCTAAAGCTACAAAAAATAGCAAACATCTCAAAAAAATCCTGGAGAGTCAGATCTGATGTCTACAGATATTATATTCTGGAGACTCTCCAGTTGTGCATTTTGTTGTTGATTTGCTGTCCACTTTAAAGACTTGGATTTCAAGAAGAATTTTCAATCAGAGCAAATTTGGTTTTTGTTCCACAACCTACAAGCCGAAGTATTCTTACAGTCACTGTATGCTCTGGAAAGAACATGAGGGCTYGGTTTGTTTGTAATTTAAAACACTTAATGATACTGTCAATCAAGAACATTTTTATATACTTAGAAAAATAGTCACAGTCAAGCCTTTTCCACTTCATTCTCAGCAACAGTATTATGTGGGCTGAGTGTTCTGTAATCTCTCTCGTTTTGCAAACAATAAAGCTATTCTCATTATCTTCCTGTCATTTAAACTATTCCAGGGCTTTTATGGTCAGAGAGATCCGTATAGTTATGCCTGTCTCGTACATTTAATTTAGAAACAAACAAAAAAAAAGACTAAATAAACACACATTAGAGCATTAAGGCTTCCCACATTTGATACTTAACTATGCTAATTTGATTTTTCATACACTGTGATTGACAAGACACTGATGTTATTTATTCTCCAGAAGTAATAGAGCACACATCTCTAATAAATGTATTTTAATAGTTTGCTTGTGTTTCTTTCAACTCTTTATTTGTATATTTAGGAGCCCAACTCACTGAGCCAAAGAAATCCTTTATATATATATATAACCACTAAAGAAATATATATATATATATATATATATATATTTCCTTAGTGGTTATCCACAGTGGTTAAATATTTTAAAGCTGTTAATATAGGCTTATGAAACATTTCTGGTTTTTTTATTCATGATCAGTAATTGCCAGCATAAACTTCTAATTGTATTCTGAGCACGTTGTGAAAGCTATTTAGTTAATTTTGTCTCGTTAAAGTATTAAGATTTGGTATTTTTACTGTAATGTTTTGTATTTATTTTCTTTGGCTAGATTTCTTATTTTTATGTAAAATGCCCTACATTTTATAAATGTCACCATTATTGCTTTTCCAGTCATAGAGAGTCTTTCTTTTTTTTTTTTTTTTTTTTTTTTTTTTGGTATATAAAGTTATGAAATGATTCGTTGAGATACCAGATGTCTCTGCTCTAAGAAAACAATCCTGAAACAGGCCAAGTTCTGTCATTTGAGGAAATAATGTCTTCTTCATCAGTCATCCATTTGCTGAATTTGTTGAACTAATTCTTGCTCTCTGTTGTCTTCTAGTATCTTTCTAGGGCATATGCTAAATATTTCTTAAAAAAATAGAAAAAAAGAATATTAATTGCATTTTTTTTAATCTGATTTAACGCTACAGGCCTTTATCAGTCTCACACTATAGCCAGCATTAGGCTTTAGAAACAGCATGGAGAGGAAAAAAATGGGTCTGGGCGTTTTAGTCTGTCCATGGGTGAGTAGCAATTCTTTTCTGCTGGCTCCATGAGGACAGTACCTCTGGTTGGCTGATGTTCTTCCGCATTATCGCTTCCTGCATGATATGCCTTAAAGGAACAATTTAGCAGTTTGGCTTGTCTTTAACTTCTGTATCTTGCATTTTTAAGTCTGCTTCTAAAACCAAAGAGCTAGCAGTTTCCCCCCSTGTTCTGCACAACGCCAGCCGGCATTGATTGCTACGTGGCAAAAACACAAAATCGATTTTTTTCCAAAATTATTTGAACGTGCTCTGAAAGCTGGTGCCAGGGCAGTTATTTGCAGATATTATCCAGAAGCCGGAGAGGATGCTTTGTTGCTAGGTGGCAATGTTCCTCAAGGGAACTAGATGCAGTGCTAGAGCCAGTAAACCCCTTGCTTAAAGCAATGAGGAAGCAATTACTTCGTTGTGTCATCATTAGACAGTATTATCGTGTTTTTCTTGGAAGCTCATGATTGCATAATGACAAG